CAGTTTGAAACCTTACAGTATTGTCACGCATTCGGAAACTGTCGGCGTAATACCGTAAAGTTTAATTTACATGAAGTACATCGCATATAAATGGTCGGAATTCTAAATTATTTTAAAAAAATACTAAACAAAATGATATTAAACAAATGGCACACCGCGCATGCACTACATCGTAGTTTAAGTCTTTTACCTGATAATTTGTCAAGTGTTCTGCAAACAAGCAATAACAAAGACTGTATGGTATGTACGATGTAATCATTGTTTTACTGTTTATTTTCTATACAGGTCTGGAAAATTTAATAGATGAGAGTTGCAAAACTTGCAAATCTCGCTCATATTAAACCCCACGTATGTTTTTCGTATGATATAGCCAATATAATTATAACTAGGAGCTAGAGTATAACCATGCACATGTCGAAGTACAACCATTGTATACAATGCAGTGCTCGATCGGCTCGATCTACATGCAACAGTGCACAAATTGCAGGATGACCTTATTCTATACTCGTACTCATTGACTCTCATTATCATAGTCTCCTACTGTTGTTCTAACAGCAATTAGGCTTTGAGAAGCCATGTATATTATAGATTAATTTGTAGCCCAGCCACCATAGTCCATATAAATTGTAGCCCAGCCTCCACATTTTACACCAATAATGAAATTAACCAGTAACTCAATTTTGTTGCTGGTAGTGTAATGGAATCTATGGGTTTTTCATATCCCAGAATTGCCTAATTATTGTCAAGTCTGCATAAAGCAGAAAAAGGCTCTGTTTTTATTAACGACTGGAGCCTATTGAGTGACTAAATATTGTCAGCCTAATCCACTTATTTGATTTATCCATGTTGCATTACTTTTGATTGCAAAACACCTGGATTATACATGATTTGCCAGCAAAATAGCAGCAATTGATAAACTTGAGTACATTATTGACTGAATGTATCAAACAGAATGCGTGTTGCCGAGTTAATGCGATTTTAAGCATGGGAATACGGGAAGGAAAATATTAGGGGGTTGGAAAGAAGTGATGCGGGGGGGGGGCGAGAAGTGATTACAAAAAATTCCTATTAGATAGCATATTTCCCACACAATTGACAGAATTTCCCACAAAATTGACAGAATTTATCCCATTTATTTCTATAATAAACCAATATTGCCCGACTGTGAATCAAATATTGCCTGGCTGGCTTTGTTTGCCCAACAAAGCGAGGGGGCGACCGCCCAGCCAGAAACTGTGTGGGGGGGGGGCAGTCGCCCGGTCCCCCCACCCCCCACCCAGTACGCCAATGATTTTAAGCGATTTTAGGCGATTTAAAGCGATTTTAGGCGATTTAAGATAAATTTGACCATTTTAACCTGCGATTTAATGCGATTTTGGGCGATTTTAGGCGATTTAAGGCGATTTACCGCCCCAGAGTAGGCCTTTTGGACCACAATGTAAAATACTAGTTTACCAGTAATTTGTGTAGTCCTGTAATAAAGTTCATTATTAAAGTTCATTATTATTGTCTTTATGGATTTTAGGTCGTCCGTATAAAATTCCTATCCGAGAACCAGTTGGATATAGTTTTTCGTAGGTTGCTGGCGTGATTGATTCTGATTTCTTTAACATCTACAGGAACCTCTTGTCTTTGTTCTCGCGTTGTAACGTCAGTTTTACCGGGTCTTCGTCTAGGCGTTGAAATTTGGTTTCATCTTCCAGTATTTTTTTTTATATATTCATATTAAGTAATGATATATCTCTCAATTCCAGCAACTTTTTTGAGAAAATGTTAAAAAATGACCGAGATATTTGGGAAAATGATATGACCACTGAACAGCTTCTCGCAATTATGATTGAACTTTGCTGGCGTCAAATATCAAGATGTGAAATTCACTAAAGTATAAGCCGTTTGTTATTTTTCGGAGGCATATATCATTGCGACAACATTAGAAAGCTTTTAATATAGCATTTACAAAATCTCTCCAAGTTCAAGCAATGTGCGATGTCGGCTTTGGTGACTTTTCTATTGCGTTTGCGTTTTGCAGTCTATAGACTATAATTCTATAAAGATAAACTAGAAAATACATGCATGCAGAAATCCTCGCCTTGCTGACAAAACCATTGTATTTTCCGAACACGAAGTATCTAAAGTAGTTGTCATGGTAACACGATAATTTTTTAAGAATATTCTTACAAATGAAAAATCACCTAAAAATATCACTTTTAATTACAAAATTATCAATTTCCCAACATATATATGTTAGGTACGTTATTATACGTAATATAAGCCTCAATTTAAGGTAAAATGCAACCACAAACGCTTCGCAAAACGTTTTAAAGTGTTCTTTATAAAACTAAACTGCCTTTATTCTTTAATTAAGTTGCTTTATCGATAAGCTTTGAGTTTACAATAAAATGGTTTCAAATTCTCCCTAGCTTGCAAATAACGTTGCTTTCTTTTTTATTTTAAAAATTCAATATAATAAAAAAGGGAATCAATATTAAAGAAACACTGAATTGAAATTATATGCTGTCTTGTTTAGTTGTTTCATGTACGCAAAGGCCGTCGGGTTTTAAAGCCATTATAAAATCAATATTTAAAACAAACTTACCTTCGTTAACGTCGGCTCCCTTCTTTTAGCCGATTCTTTCGCCCTTTCTTTCTTTCTTTCTTGAAATTTACAAAATCTTGCAAAAATGCGAGCAAAAATGAAATACATTTGCAATAAATTTATCAATCATCAAATTATAGATGAAGTAAGAATATATACTTCATCTGTGATCAAATCAAGAAATATTTGCTATTTCGCTGTCGTCATGCAGTCGTTATAATTCAAACTTTAAATTGGACCAATCAGTGTCCGCTATTCAGGACAGCATTATTTTTCAATTTAGTAGCATCTCTTCAACCGCTTATAGATAAGTCAAGTTATCTGATTTATATCAAAACAAGTACAATAGCTTTCAAAAAATGCGCACACACTTTTCTTCTTTGGACATTTGAGATGAGAAATATGATATTTTGGGAGCTCTTGAGTTAAGCGGTCTGTCGTTAAATCTCGTGGCGTAAGAGTTGCTATTTTTCAAAAAAATGTCTCATTGCGACTGCAGGTTAAAAGGTGGTGAATTTTGGTTAAAACAGTAGCTTCTACAGTTAGTTATCATTGCATGGACCAAATTTGAGGAACGTAACTAAAAAATTGAGCACGCAGTGACAATTTTTCTGAAACTGGAATCTATCATATGATGTAACCTTAAATTGAGCATAGTTTTTCACCCCCATGATAATTTTTTTTAGGAAATAAGAAAATTTAATTTCTGCCAGGCATATTAGTTATTTTGTGCATAGTTAGCAATTTACCTGGGGTGGTGCATGGTAATTTTCGTGTAAAATATTATATACTTAGGCAATTTTTTCCTTCCAATGACCACCCCTAAAAGCAACCCTTCTGAACACTATAAGCATTTCAGAAAGGCTATTGCGACACTGCCGTTTCAGGACGGGGTCATTTTCAGGACTTTCGTCCCGGATTCAGGTTTTGGCACATGTGCCATGTTGACCGCCATGGTCATTTTTTTCCTAAAACAGTTGAGATTATACCTGTCCTAAATGAAACGCGTACAAACTCATATACAGGTCCTAGACTAATAATGGGAATTTTCTATTATTATATTGTGTAAACACACGCAGGAAGCGGCCTTCTCTGTTCTTATTCCCCAACTGAATCTGAAATACCACGGCAAATATTCAACGCGAACATCGTTCGTATGTTACTAGTCTATAAAGTTTGTGTATCCTTGTCCAAATTTTTGTCATCTAGAGGCCAGTTTAATATCTTCAAGATAGCGACAAACGTCTATTTAATAGCCCTTCCGAGAACATATTCGCTTTGAATTCTGCATGTGTTGACAGTGTTGTAAAGGCAGTCAAGCACTTTTCCCCTTGTGTTTCAGGCTCCTTTATCAATGCATCTTATTCATCGTATTCTAACACTTTATCGTGGCAACAAGAACAATTCAATATCGTTTGGCTAATTGGTTTCAATGCCGTGCAATGCGCCAAGCCTTTTTGACCTCAATCACATGGTGATTTCCTCGTCAGACGATTTACTCTGTTCTTCAGAGACGTTCTCGTCACTGCGATTGCATGTTTGTAAGCCCGATTTAGGTTCATATTGATACGGTAATACCTTATGTACATGATATCGTAGATATTTTCCATCCGAGTAATCAAAAAAGGCCAAATTTCTCACTAGAGGTACGAAGTCGCAATATGCGCCTAATAAAATATATTTGTTGTTTTCATTCTACCCTACTCCTGACGTCGCACCGGTCATGTGACCCGAAAGATAATTTTTTGAAAATCGATCCAAGATGGCGGACATACTCAATATTTACAGTGAAATAACTCGAGAACAAAAGAGTTTGGATGAAAACTAGTAGCATATTCGTAATCATGCAGGGGTTCCAGTTTTACTAACATCAGGAATAAATAAAATTATTGCCATTGTCCTTTAACAACAGTTTATCGGCAAATGTAGTTTAGCTGAATCAACTTGTCATTTGAATGAACATCTCAAAACATTTTACGAAGCAAGTTAAATTTAACATTAATCAACGTTCGCAAAATCCAGAATAACATACCTACAATATATATTTCGGAAATTCATTGTTGTATACTTTAGGGTACTAATCTTTCAACTATTTTGCCGTTTTGTACAAAAGGGCCATTCCATTTAATATACACACACCCCTATGGACGAGAATTTCTGAGGGGTTTCTGAGAGGTTGTGTGCATCGGCATCCTTTGATCTTTGCGTTTTTTCTGAGGGGTAAGGCAAATATTTCTTAATTTCCCGGGGGAGTGTTTGTGTCGGCACTTTGATATTTTCTTCATAAGGGTTCAAATTTTATTGAACTGGTCCATAGGAAGGTGTGTATATTAAATGGAATATTTTTTAAATATTTTAAAATTGAAAAATATCGCGATCGCGTTGTCAGGCAACACTTGAACGAGAGCCTGCGTTTAGTGCTGGCCATTTCTGAATACTTCATGTTAATTCAATGTTTGGAAAATATAAGCGAGGGGTTGCTGCATGCATACATTTCTAGTATATTGATAGATTGTTATATCATGCAACGAGCTAAGCGCGCCGTGTTCCTCTTCATTTGCATCGTTCAAATGGTACCCATGCATATAGCCTATAACGTCGCTGCATTATTCGTTTAGAAATCTACAAAGGAGAATGAAATACAGGGAACCAATCATGAACAAAAAACTGAAGGTAAAATGTAGAAGTTATACAGTTTGTTTTTTTGCAATGTGTCTTACAACACAACACAAAACAACAATAATTTTATTTCAACGAGGAAAACACATGAACTTTTAGTTTGCGTGATAATATCTGAACCTTTTTAAAGGTTCAACAAATGCAGAAAATAAGATCATTGTTGTGAGGGTAAATAGCAATTATAATACAGTAAATATGTGATAGAAGAACGTTTTTGATTGACTGAAGCCCGTGCTCAATAACTCGATTGACCACCAAAAAAAACGCGCGGGAATTTTTTGCCTCTTTTCTGCAAATATTTTCTCGAGATTTTTTACAAACGTTTTCGTTATTTTAATCAATAAAATATAATTTGGTGAAGAAAAACAACCAGCCATTTATTTTTTACTGATAACCGACTTTATTTTAATAACATATTATGTGTAAACATTCAGGTTTAAAGCCTATAAACTATTCGTAACAACTCTACTATAGCGAAGTCAAAAAGACTTTTTGCTGTGTTCACCGTAAGAAAAACACACTTCCAAAATGGCAAGCCTCGTGAACTGAAACTTGGCTCACTAAAATGTACTTCAGATTGCAAAAATGAGCAATTCAAGGAAGAAAAAATATAAACAAAGACCAAAACACAATGTCTAGATTCCTAACAACGACTGCATAATCACAGCAAATGTTGAAGTAAATTCTAAATAAATACCTCTAAATGTCTGCTTCCTTTTCTACCAGTGAAGGGGAAGCCTTAATGAAATAATCGCAACATTAGTAAAATTTCAATTATTTTATGCATTTGAAACCCAACTCGCTGGGAAGCTACCCAGGATTCAGAAAATGAAATGTCATGAGGAATGAACAACTTGTTTTTGATAAAAAGTTATATTATAAAATAATTTTTCATGATTTGGCGTGCTTAATCGAGTTATTGAACACTTGGGAAGTTGGAGAGCACTCAAGCGCTAGACTGGCGGTCTCGACTGCTGCCTTGATCAATTCTTACGGTCTTTCGTGCTCTCCCAACTTCCCAAGTGTTCAATAACTCGATTGAGCTCGCCAACTCATGAAAAAAATCTTAAATCTCTCAACATTGATGTTATATTAAGATAGAGAGTTTGAATACGTAGTTTAAAACATTGTAACTGCGGGTTTTGGTCTTTTGTGTTCTCTTCCAATCAGTCATGCACATAAGATGACCCTTATATGTGTTATATATAATATGCTTTCCTACCACTTTCCTATTTTGAATCGCATTAAGTTTGATTTTCTTCTCTTTTTTTACGAAATGGGAAACTTTAGAGCACTTAATGAAGAAAAATATAAAATATAAAAAAGGGAATGAAATACTGCCGGCGAAGAAAATCAATGAAAGTCTGGAAAAAGGTTCACGAGATGAAACTATTGATCCAACTAGCGAACTTCGACGCCTTCGAAAAGAAAATGATGACATAAAAAAAGAGATCATAAACAAGGATGCCATTATTCAGATCTTCCAAAATGATAGTAAAATGAAAGAAAATATGCGACTTCATCGAGACAACGATATCATGAGACGTGAAATTCAGGATCTTCGAGAAAAGACTGACGAAAGGAAGAGTGAAGTGCAGAATCTTCAACAACAGGTTCGAGAAGAGCAAAAACGTGCGACTTATCAAATTCGGTACATTCAGCAAGAGAAGGAAAACGAAATTCAACAACTTCGAGAGGAAAACATCAAGAAAAATAACGAAAATCGACAACTTCGAGAAGAAAACATCAAAACTGATAACGAGATTCGGGAACTTCGACAAGAAAACGCAGACATAATAGAAGACTTTATATCCACAATTTTTGCAGATAGTAAATCAGTAGTAGTTTCAAATGAAAAACTAGGAACAGGCGCTTGGGGTACTGTCTACACGGGAGACTTTTATGGAACCACAGTGGCAGTTAAAAAATTCCATCAAATTATTTTGTCTCCACATAACAAGAAAATCATTCAGCGCGAAATAGAAATTGCATCGCAATGTCGACACCCCAATTTACTACAGTTTATTTGTGCAACAGAAAATTATCAACACCATCTTTTAATTGTAACAGAACGGATGGATATGACTCTGCGTACATTGCTCGAGCAACGTGCAAGAGAAAAATCACGATTGGAATATCAGGAAATTAAATCAATTTCCTTAGATGTGGCATGTGGTCTCAACTACCTACATTCAAAAACACCAAAACCGATTATCCATCGCGACATCAGCAGTGCGAACGTATTGCTATTCATTAAAAATGGTGAAGTGAGAAGAGCGAAAATATCAGATTATGGTTCAGCAAATATCATGCAAGCGTGCAATACACCAAATCCTGGAGCAGCAATCTACGCCGCACCTGAAGCCCGTCAAGCTCAACAGGACCCAAAGGTAATTATATTTCAAAGTGATTATAAGATGAAGGAAGATAGAAAACCACTAATAATTTTTTTATGAATTTACTTTGTTTTTTACTCTGAGAAGAATGGAAAGCCTGAACGGAACCATTAACTCAGATAAAAGGGCCAGCGGCTTAATTTTCTTGCCAAGCAATTTGATAGGATGGTGTTCACTTTAATTTTTGGCGTCTACTGGAACAGTAGGCGCCATATGCTGTCAACAAGAGGTTTAGGGTGGACGCTTTCGCCTGTGAAGAGGCTCTTTGGTTAGGTTAAAGCCCGCGCATCTACGAAAGTTTCCGAATTGTTTACGATAAATGGTCTGATCATTGCAACTTCGTACCCAGGCTCTTACCCCTCCCGCCGCGGAAAGACCCTGGTTGGGGCTGGTCACGACACCCCCAAAATCTGGGGTGTTTTCAATTAGCGTTTTAAAAACACTCAGGGAGGAGTGGCAAGGGAATTATTGCCGATATTGCGGTCAAATGTAAAAATAAACAAAAGCAAAGGCACGCCTATCAGCACACTTTTATCGTTACCAAAAAGATATCGTAACCTCGAGCATTACTGTGAAAGAAACTCCTACCAGTAAAAGGTATACAAATCCTGTAGTGTGCCATCCAATACATGTCGACCGCTTTGTCGAAGTGTTTGCGAAGCGAAGTATTTAAAAATATTCAGTACAACAGAGCCAATTTCCAACTTTTTGTTATGTCCGAAACAATCCACCGTTGCAAACCTACTTGTGACGATAAACTTCCTCGTCTGATCTGCCAACCATGCGAATAAAGGAGGTTAAGCAACTTTAAAGCGTCTAATATTAATATTAAGACGGTGGTCTATAGTTTATACACTTCATGCAACACAATATATACTACGCAGTTCGGACACAAGTCACACGTCGCGGTAAACATACAAGATAATATATTTCTAGATTGACCAGTCTATCCAACCTCGTACCCAGGGCATTTTGCTTCCGGTCAGCGAACCGATCACATGACCTCAAATCGGCCGGTCACATGACCTCAAAATCTCCAGTATTTGGAGTGTCAATTATGATAATTTATGCGTATAAGTATGTATATAGAATAATTATATACATGGTAATTACTGACAGGAGTAAACAAACTCAATGCTGCGTATACTGTATAAAGCCGGTTTTCCGCGAAGCGAATTTGCTATTGTTTGAATTGAATTGAAAGGAATTTTTTTTCTGTGCTGGTGTTGTGTACTCAGGTGAATAATATGTTTGTGATGTTACTCTGAGTGCATATCCACACCGGGCGAGCTTGAAAAATATGCCCGGCCACGGTGGGATTCGAACCTACGACCTTTGGAATACTAGCCCAATGCTCTTCCAACTGAGCTACGCGGTCAGGACTGTTCGAGTAAGTGATATTTCGGAACAGTATCTAGTTCCTTCAATACCAATGTGTTCTTGTAATATGAATTTTTTTCTGTGCTGGTGTTGTGTACTCAGGTGAATAATATGTTTGTGATGTTACTCTGAGCGAATATCCACACCGGGCGAGCTTGAAAAATATGCCCGGCCACGGTGGGATTCGATCCTACGACCTTTGGAATACTAGCCCAATGCTCTTCCAACTGAGCTACGCGGTCAGGACGGTTCGAGTAAGTGATATTTCGGAACGGTATCTAGTTCCTTCAATACCAATGTGTTCTTGTAATATGAATTTTTTCTGTGCTGGTGTTGTGTACTCAGGTGAATAATATGTTTGTGATGTTACTCTGAGTGCATATCCACACCGGGCGAGCTTGAAAAATATGCCTGGTCACGGTGGAATTCGCAACTACGACCTTTGGAATACTAGCCCAATGCTCTTCCAACTGAGCTACGCGGTCAGGACGGTTCGAGTAAGTGATATTTCGGAACAGTATCTAGTTCCTTCAATACCAATGTGTTCTTGTAATATGAATTTTTTTTCTGTGCTGGTGTTGTGTACTCAGGTGAATAAAAATTCATATTACAAGAACATATTGATATTGAAGGAACTAGATACTGTTCCGAAATATCACTTACTCGAACCGTTCTGACCGCGTAGCTCAGTTGGAAGAGCATTGGGCTAGTATTCCAAAGGTCGTAGGTTCGAATCCCACCGTGGCCGGGCATATTTTTCAAGCTCGCCCGGTGTGGATATGCACTCAGAGTAACATCACAAACATATGAAAGGAATTGATTAAAAATTTAATCAGTTCCAGCCGAGAGCTCGTAAGACAAAGGATTCGCGCGAACGAATTCGCTGGTGGAAAACAGGCTCAATAAAAAAGAAAGTTGACTATCTAATATAATTATATCGAATAAACACACACATACAGCAAAATGTTGCTTGAAGCACTTTGTGTTTATTGCTGCTTAAACGCTAGAGCTAAACGCTTTTACATAGTAAAAGATTAGCCTCCTCCGCAGGCATCTCACCCGACGAATCGGGTGGTGGGAAAAAGTTTGGTGAGATGCCTGCCATAAATCGACACAAAAATTTGCACTGCGCATACCGGCTCGCGCATGCAAATTTCGACAAACGCAAACTTAGGGGGAGTAGGAAGGGCTTACAGCAAGGAGTGGAGAAATTTTTGTTTTCAACACGATGGCTTATAAAACTAAGACGAATACCTGTAAGTTAACGAATAATACTGCTCTTTAACATTGTAAATAGACAGGGAACTTTGACTAAGGAGCTGAGAACGTTAGCGTAAGCCGAAGCAGCGATTTACTGGGATTGTTTAGAGACAACGACTCAACGAGTGACTTTCCAGAGCAGCGAATTCACGTTGTCGTCGATTCATGTCAAGACAGGGTGTCAATTGAACGTTTATCGTTGATATATACAAATTTCTACTCAAATTGTTGACGACATTTTATATCATAATATTAAAGCTGAAATTGCAGTGATTCATTCGAAATTATAACACGAAAAGGAACGAGCGAAAATTGTCCATCATTTTATTAAAATGTAAATTCAACTGTTGACATCTGTGCCTTCGGTATCAGTTAAAATATATACCTCTTGCCTTGTTTTAATACGCTTGTATGGAAGGAAAATCATTAATAAAAGTCTTTAAAACAAAGAGGTTTTTTATATTGTGGAATACACTGTGCAATTTATCCCTTGGACAAAGACAAAGTTTTCAAACTTGAGTGTCTTAGATAATAATGGCCCTGTTTTATATATGGGTGTGAGTAATACCTAGACATATATAAGGGAATAGACATCAAAGAATAGAAAAGACAACTGGAATTTAATAGGAATCTAATAGTTTTGCAAGTGACGGTTTATGTGACATTCATCTTGCTTGCCAAAGTTAACAAGCAAAATATTTACATGGGTAAAATCCATCAATTTTGCAAGGGAAATTTCCATGTAAGTTTAACCATACCAACAATCACTGAGGAAACTTCCCAGTGATAGCTAGTGTTTTGCTATTGTTACATTACACAGCAACCACCCTGTCCCAATTCCAATTATTGAACTATATATTAACTGTATGTTTACAAAAATGAATATATTTGGTAAGCTTTAGCAGGGATGGATCTAGCATGATCTTATAGGGGGGGGGATGCTCTGTCAGCTCTGGTGCTGAGTTGTGTCGGTCATGTGTGCCGCCCGCCCATCAACTTGCTTCACTACTGCAAAGTTTTGCTTGACTACTGTATTTGAATTGTAATTGTTGTTCACAGTTTGCTTATCATCATGTTATTACTCAAATTACTGTATCTCATTTTGTCTCTAATAATTTTTGCTTATCATGAAAAATAGCACTTCCTCTGCACCCCCTCTGGCCAGGGTTAGGGGGGCACCTCTCCCCAGTAAATCCATCCCTGAGCTTTAGATTAAGCCATTGTCTGCACTCTCCCATTGAAGAGTAAAATTGTCTGATCAATGTTAGACAGAGTGAAAGCAGGCACTCCCCTGCCAGGGATGACGGACAACGAGAACTTGTTGTGGGCCCCTGGCATTCTAGGCTCTTACATGAAAAACCTAGATTTACTATATTTTAAACCAATATATGCCAAGAGCAATTTTATTTGAACATGAACAAGGGAGATACATATAATTAGAGAATATGCAGATACATCATAAATTCATTTATTTATCAAATCATGGATCATGTAATGTGGCCAGTAAGTGTAACACAACTAGGCATATACTATATTAGAAAGAGGTTGTTACACGTGCCAACTGCTTTTTACGGGCATGGTGCCACAATGCAACTTAATGGATTTAGTATATTTACATACATGATATTAAGGGGGTGAGAGAGTTAAAAAAACTACAATTCCAATTTAACTATTCAACCAAGTGAAGCCTGGTTTACATATACCTACGGTACGTTGATAGGCTATTGTCGTTAGAAGTTCAACCAAATAATTCACAAAAGAATGTATGCATCAACAGCTGTAAACAATGATAGTGCAGGCATACCGCAGGCATATGTAAACCAAGCTTATAATTTATTAAGATGCCAACAAAATCTTGATGTTCGTAGTAATCAAATTTCTGTATTTGATATTTCTCTCCTCACTTATTGAAATGGTTGTTTCAACAGAAAGATCTTTTTCTTCTATATATCAATTCACTGAGCATGTTGCCAAATGCCTGATGATTTGACTAAAATTAGTGAAATATAATCAAAATTTCAACCCCTTAGACATGTCAAAATATTATTCCAGAAAACAATACAATTTAATATAATCCCTTTATTAAACAAATTATACCTTTCGTATCGTTCCATTCTTCGTTTTGCGTTCGAAATTATGCCAGATAATTTCCTCAAATTGTAGTTCCTCGGCTGAACAATTGAGCGGAACTCTGAACCCATACATTCAATACATATTTGTAGACATAATTTGTAAACACTTGGCTGCTTCGAGCGAGCGATTCAGAATTTGCACGTCGTTTTTAGACAGCGGGAGACATTGCGACATATAATCCTTTCAATTGACCAACTAATTTTCGTATAGCTTGAATATTTCGACGCATTATAAAACATTTTTAAAGTTTTTAATGTTTTTTAAAATCGCAAGCTTCGCTCCTCGCCCGAAGATTTCAAACTGAATATATATAATAAGGGTCAAAAGCCTACTTAGGGGGTGGGGTACATTGACATGGCCACTTGGTACATTGACACGTCCATTTTTTTCGATTTATGGCAGGCCTCTCTCCCAGAAAATTTTTTTTTCAAACCCATTCGCAGGCTAGAACCCATAAGATCTTGGTGTGAAGATGAAAAACCCAACCTGCATAAAACAGGGCGGAGAATATTTAAAAGTTCTCTTGAATGTTGTCACTCAATAACATTCGTGTTATCAATGCCTTTACAGATTATTAATACGATAATCTAAAATACACTCCTGGGAAACAGTTCTTCTTCTTTTAATTGAAGTCAATGTATAAATTGTTCACGTTCGTATTTTACGCATTCGCTTAAATAAACAAGTTTTTAGACACCTCGAATTGCAAGCTTGCCGATGGTTTAATTTAAATGTAATTATTCTTCGACTGTACCGACTTCCATCCTTCATGACTCTGCATTGACATATCGGACAAATCCTGGCAACCTGGATCAGATGCACCACCACTCCTTAAGCTGTGAGTTCCCAACTTTCTCAAATCGTAGTAAAATACGCCCAAGTTCTCTTTGATGATATCTATAGCCGTAGTATAGGAAATCCCCCGTGACTGATGAAAACTTTGTACACCTTTTTTTATTTTGAAGTCTACGGACAACTGGATAACAGGAATCACGACTGTTCGGCAACATTTGAAGCAATCTCTCTGTGATAGAAACAGGGCATGTTATTTTATTCGTTTTAGCAATGTAGATTGTATTACGCGCCGCGAAATTGGTCGTTTTTGCGTTTTGGCCTTCAGGAACTATACGAATATGCCCGACTTCAATGGATAAAAGTTCACCGATACGCAAAAAAACACTATATCCCACGAGAACGATAAATAGGAGACCTAGATCGGCCGGAGATGCGCTATTATGCCCGTGTTTCTGAATTAACGTTTTTAACATGTGAGGTTGGACAGGATCTTTAGGTTTTCTTGGTGGAGAGAGAATTCGTCGGCAGCCTTCGTAGGTAGATTGAACCAACGGGTGCTCTGTCGGAGAGGGTAAGCCGGCCAAAATATGCCCCCAACGAATGCTATACACAACAGTATCCACAGGTCAGGTTGTTTTGGCGGAATCCAGGAATTGACGCAGATATAACGCCAGGAACATAGGCTGAGCAGGAAGGTACGCAACACCAATCTTAGACTTGGACCAGATCTTCCATCTGTTCCATCCGTAAGCCTAGCGGACTGTCGTATTTCGAGCTTTTGCATTCAACGTAACCCGAGGAAGCGAGTAACCAACGATACAAGCGAAGGATCTTGTATTTTGGAGAAATCCTCCCACACTCCAATTTTAAACTCATCTATATAGAAATAAGTAAATCATAATACAATATACGCTTCGAAGACTACATTCGTCACGCGACGATATGGCAGCACTAAAAGACTGCATTAAATAAAAAATAATTTTCACGAAAATGTATCCCGCCGTTAAAAGGCCAATGTAAAATTTAATTTTACATGAACAGGTCGAATGACCGATGAGATGACTTTGTAACCAAAATTTGGTGACCAAAACCCCTGAAAAAAATACAATCTTGAAGTGTTTGAAAATCAACACACTATTTGCATTATCAGCAAATAAACCACCAGAAATAGAGCGAATCAGTCGAAAAGACATAAGTATAAAAAAAATTATAAAATGCTTTAAAACGCCACAATTTGTCAAAAAGACACGGTACGGTGCTAAAGACCAAGCCTAATTATTATGCCTTAAAACTTTACCCGTAAAGCTAATAAGTCAAAACTTGGTGTTCCCGTAAAAACGGACGGTTTCTTTTGATAGGCTATCAATCTGTGCTATTTTTGGTAAAACTAAACTGTCCTTAACAAATGGAGCAAATTTCCCAGGTTAGCTATAGGTTTTAATGGCTGGCCAAAAAATAGCCGACGGCCAGCGAGGAACTATAAGGGTACCTTTGACCTTACAAACTGACATGTGTCTAATGACGGGGATGATTAAAGCCACTGGCGAACAGACCCAGTTCATTTCGTTTGACCAATTTTGAGTAAATGCGTCAACCGCCTCTGTTTCAGGACACCAAAATCGTGAATTGAATCGTGGTATTTGTGTGTTATAACTAGCGGCGAACCTATCAATAGTAAAAGGACCCCATGCTCTATGAAGCATAGCAAATAATTCTGGGTTTAACTTCCAACATCTAGATCAATTGTTTTGCGCAGGTCGCGCGGGTGGAAAGAGCGGGCTTTGCCGGCAAAAATTTACACAATATTTCAGTTTTTAAAAACATTTATTTCTTCAAAACGTTTTACAAAGTTATGTTTCTAATATATATCGTCACTTGTTTCAGGGGTTTCGCTCTCAGATTCTTCATCATAGCTGCTTTCATCATCGTGGTTGCTTTCATCTAAGACATTGATATCCTAAGATACTGATATCCTAAGATACTGATATCCTAAGATACTGATATCCTAAAATACTAGTGATATCCTAAGATATTGATATCCTAAGATACTGATATCCTAAGATACTGATATCCTAAGATACTGATATCCTAAGATACTGATATCCTAAGATATTGATATCCTAAGATCCTGATATTCTAAGATATTGATATCCTAAGATATTGATATCCTAAGATACTGATATCCTAAGATACTGATATCCTAAGATACTGATATCCTAAGATATTGATATCCTAAGATATTGATATCCTAAGATACTGATATCCTAAGATATTGATATCCTAAGATATTGATATCCTAAGATACTGATATCCTAAGATAATGATATCCTGAGAAAATGATATCCTAAGAAAATTATATCCTAAGATATTGATCAGCTCCTTGGGCTCGGAGCCGAGCTCCTTAGGCTAAGGAGCTCGGCTCCGAGCCTAAGGAGCTCGGCTCCGAGCCTACGGAGCTCGGCTCCGAGCCTAAGGAGCTCGGCTCCGAGCCTAAGGAGCTGGCTCCGAGCCCAAGGAGCTGATCAGTATCTTAGGATATCATTTTTTTAGGATATCATTTTCTTAGGATATCATTATCTTAGGATATCAGTATCTTAGGATATCAATATCTTAGCATATCAGTATCTTAGGATATCTATATCTTAGGATATCAATAGTATCTTAGGATATCAGTATCTTAGGATATCAGTATCTTAGGATATCAGTATCTTAGGATATCAGTATCTTAGGATATCAGTATCTTAGGATATCAATATCTTAGAATATCAATATCTAAGGATATCAGTATCTTAATGGTCTGAATAAATGGTCGAATGACAACAAATTTCAACTGAACCCTGGTAAATGTAAAGAGCTGGGGATAAACTTTACCACGCAACCATTTACTGAGGAACCCCTAAATATAAACGGGAAGCCATTTGAAATTGTAAAATCCGCAAAAGTTCTGGGCATGATAGTTACCAATGATTTGAAATGGAACAAACATGTAAGCAATACCGTGGAAAAGGCTTCTAAGAGACTTTATTTATTAAGGCAATTAAAACGTGCTGAAGTGGAAACTAATATATAAGCTGAAGTGGAAACTAGGTATAAGATCTGTCGTTGAGTATGCTTGCCAAGCCTTTCACTCGGGTCTCCCTAAGTCTTCCACTCGAGCCACCATAAATCATGACATAGTCTTAACGAAACTTGATCTTTATGGCCTACAGA